CTGCAGCAGTTAATGTTGAGCGTCTCAACCGAGAAAAAAGTTGCCCGTCCAAAAGTTACCCTTGAGCGGATGCCGTGGCAGTCAAACCTGAGGTGCTCGACAGGTCTCCACTCAGAACCATCAGGTGTAGGCACATGACCAAATGTGAGAAGCTCCTCTACCGGCTGGACATGAGGGCGGTCAGAGCTTCGTAACATATCCCGGCTAAATAACATGCCTATGTCCTCTCCAGTTGATACCCTCCACTCATGTTGGAAACATACGGGATCGGGAAGCCTGGTCCATGTTTGCCTTATGCATGCAACACTGTTACGACTACTAGTGTACAGTACCTTAAGGCGCTTCAGGGTCTTGGGCAGCACGGAGATGCGGTCAAAACAAGCAAACTCATAGCTGCCGGCAACACGCATGATAGCTTGCTCAGGCTGCAGGTGGGCACGTACCACGTACGTACCCTGAATGCGCCGACCCATGGAGGGTTGGTTTTCTTGGGTTTTGGCACCAGGCGTGGCGCCACCGTCCAAGCCTGCGGCTGCGGCAGCCATCCTTCCTCTAGCAAGCTGCAGCGCAGATCGTACGCCGGCGCCGGCATCGGCGCCGCCATGGACAGGAGCTTGGGAGGGTCGAGGCCGGTGGCCGTTCTTTGGTAGATGGACGTGCCGGAGTATATGTTATATATCTTGGTCGATTGGTTCAATCGCGACGAGTGTATATATAGATTGATTATATAAATATCTAAAATATCTTATAATCCAAAACAGAGGTTAGTACTCTACTTGCTTACGAAGAGGACTCCGATCCGGTCAGGTACCGCGTACCTGCGTACGTGCTATCAGTGGAGTACGTGCTAAAGGCGTATGCAGCCGTCACCACTCCCTTACCCAAGCCAACTTGAACTTGTTGATGACAGCCGACCGAAGCGTTGCTGTCGTCACTTTCCTATATCAGAGCCAGCTTGACCTTATCGATGACAGCCAACCAACGCGCCAATGTCGGTGTTTCCCTATCTGAGTCGGCTTGACCTTGTCGATGACAGTCAACCGACATGCCACTATCGATGCTCCCCTACCTGAGCCCCCTTGACCTTGTTGATGGCAGCCGACCGATGCGCGAGTGTCAGCGCTTCCCTACCTAAGCCAGCTTGATCTTATCGATGACAGTCGGCCGACCATTGTCGACGCTCCCTACCTGAGTCGGCTTGACCTTGTCTATGACAACCGGTCGACGCACCACTATCGATGCTCCCCTACCTTAGTTGGCTTAACCTTGTCCATGATAACCGGTCGACGCGCCATTGTCGCCGCTCCCCTATCGGAGCCGGTTTGACCTTGTCGATGACACCCGGTAAGTCTTCGTGTATGTGCCCCTAAAGACAAACGCCCTGGAGCCGTACTTGTCGTCGTTGAACCCTTGCATAGATCTAAAGCATCTGGCACCAAATCTCGTCACATGACGAGAAACTCTATCCTCACTGCCCAAGGAGACGGCGGGAATCTATGTTGGAGCTATGTCCAGATGGATAAACTCGAGGAGGAATGGAGCCCGGAAGACAAACTCGAGGCGGCAAAAATTCCATGAGTTCGGTCTAGGTTGTTTGCACTCTTGAGCGTGAAATCACTTGACTTTTCATAGTGCCACACAATGCAGCCCTCGGTCGTACTGGTTGGGGTACGGATTTTGTATATTTCCTCGGCATCAAAAGGATGAAAGATTTGGTTTACAAGCTCTGTATCCCGCTCTTTGGACCCCTCCTTCATAAGTTGATTGGCATATCTGCAAACAGATATGAAAACCTCTCCCAAGTGATTCCGAGCTACAATACTGGATTATGTTTCATCTATCTCTGGTTGCCTACCTTTGGTTCACCAATAGAATTATTTTAAGAAGCTCCATTTTTAGCCAGTAGTGGTGATGAGACCTTCCTCTGTATGTGATGCTTCCAAAGCATACAACAGGAAGATAGTGAACAAAAAAGGATGTCACTGATGCTAAAAAACTGGGCAACATTGGTTATCTGGCCACTATGTATATCTGTATTTGGTATATAATCCTTCCTTTCACACAACAATAGCAATTGTCCATATGACTATTGAAAAATAAGAAGAACATCGTAGCAAAATCTTGTTAGTGAAAAGGAACATGATATAAACACATATGACTTTTTGTGCATATGTATGTGAGAAACAAGTCAATTCTAGCTAGTGCATTTTTGGATACGTGAGAAGAAAGATGACATCTATACATGTGACTTAAGCTCAAATGGTTTGAGCACATGCATGCTATTTATGTAATAGTTTAACACAATTGTATGATACAATGCATGCCAAGGTAGAACAAAAAATATGTCAAAACAAGGTAGATCAAAATTTTATGGAGGCTAGAAACATAATAACATGAACCATTTTCTTATAGAGGAAAGGGAAGAGAAGGAGACGGAAGCGCGGCGGCATTGCAAGGAGCAAAAGGGCACGATGAGGAGTGGCGGCTAGGTTTTTCATCCGCTTTAGAGGCCACATCAGAGAGAAAGAGAGAGTGCACAGGCGATTAGGGTTCCCTCGCCTCCCGTCGGCGCCGCCACCGATCTACCTCGCTTATGTGGCCTTCAGGCTATGGAGGCAGGGTGGATCTCGGCCCCCGCCTCGAGAGGGCTCTGTTTCCTGGTTTTAGGGTAAATGTTTGGTGGGACGACACTTAGATGGTGGTGGTGGTGTCTTCTCCAATAAAGTGTCCCCGGCTTCAGCCCCATCTCGGCGACGACGTCCGGAAGCTTGTGGGAGTGGTGTGGTTCTTGAGGACTTCTTCTAGTTGTGGAGATTCGTGGATCGTCAAGGAGCTTCATCGGCGGTTCTTCCTCCTTCGTCATCTCCAGGACGGATGTGGTCTTCTTGACCCGCTCGGCGACTTCTCGTTTGCATCCAACTAAGTCTGGAGGTTGAAGACGAAGTGTATCTCAAGGAGTCCATTGTAATTTTCATTTTTGTTGAGGTCCTTTGTACTATCTGGTGTTTCTTTTAATGCCAGGGTCCTTTTCGCAAAAAAGAAGAGGCCAAGCCTTCTCCTATCAAACCCTAAGCCACCATGCGAAATCCCAAAACTACCCCCACCCAAATCCTGAAAAATATCCAACGGCCGAGGTCGCATGAAAAAATATCGAACGACTGAAATGATCTGGACCTAGAGATAGACGCCCACGATTGCATCGGCAAATCGATCGGGTGGACGATATGGTCCAAGCTCTGAGTGGCCCTAGTGCGTCGGCAAATCAATCAAACGGCAGATATGCTCTAAGCTTGGAAAACCCTAGTTTCTAGCATCTACATAACCATGGTATGGGTTGGAATTCCCAAGTGCGCCGCCGGCTAAATACGAAGCCAACATGTTCCACAAAAATGGTATGGGTTGGAATTCAGATCGGCTAAATACGAAGGCCAACATGTTCCACAAAAATGTGGCTCAATCCGCAACTTGCCCTCGATGTCAAGACCTGTATGAGGATGCTCTTCATCTCATCTCCACCTGCTCCTTTGCCACACAAGTTTGGTCCAGCTTGGGCCTGTCTGCTCCGACCTCCCTCACTGCTCTTCATCAACACCCACCGATTCTGGGCCTCAACCCTAGCATCTGGCCATCGGTGGCCTTGACCATAACTTGGAAGCTATGGGACTCAAGAAATGCTCTCGTCTTCAGGAACGATGATCACTCTCACAGAATAACGCTAAGAAATATTGTAGCTGACTTCTTTCTCTGGGTTTTCCGGTTCAAAAAAACTGATGACAGCAACTCGGCTAGACAGTGGCTAAATTTTCTCTCCTCTGCAATCCCTTCTAGCTGAACTTGTAACAATAACTTGCCTGTATTCCTCTGATCTCTTTGAGTGGTAATATATTCAGGTGGGGAAGCTCTCCCTCCGGTGACCGTTCAAAAAAAAATTAGCAGGGCTATGGGCTGTATTGTAATGATTCTTTCTAGGGACTGCTCCTGTTTTGTGACTAGATTGATAATGTAGCCAGTATGTCGCAATTTATTAGATTCATCTTTAAATGCTTAGTTCATGTACCTGCTGACACTGCTTACCTTTTTAGGTAACAAATCAGCGCTTGACTAAGAAGGATCCTGAGAGAGATGTGCGCCATTTTGAATTGGAAGACCCATCTTATGTATTTTCTTTGTTCAATGTGATGATGTTAGCTTGCAGTCATCTTGTTAACACATGAATAGATTGAAAGATGCTAATTTTGTCATGTTAGGCGGTCCGTTATCAAGTCGGTGATGCTTTAGAAATTCTACCAAGTCAGAATCCATCAGCTGTTAATGCTTTCATCAAACGTTGTAACTTGGATCCAGATTGCTACATATCGGTACGTGGCTTTGTTTTACCTTTGTGTTTTTCTCCGCCATTGACGCAACTTCCATTAGTATCTCAACACTTTTCCTTTCCACATTGGCTGTCTGCACATTGTTTGTTGCAAAACTAAATACAACTGCGCCTTGACCAGGCCACTTTAGTAGTGAGCTATTCATCATGGTTTGAACAATACATCCTTTTTTTTTCCTTTCTCGAACCTATGATTCTTGGGTTTAGGCATAAAAAGGGGGGGTGCTAGAGGAAGCTATGCTTTCTTATATCTTCTCAATCAACCATCTGGTTGCAGTTATAGAACTCGATGGCTGATTCTGCCTGATTCTATGGGAAGCTGATTCTGTGGGAAGTTTCCCAAAAGCTGATTCTGGAGAATCAAAAGCTAAAAAGAACTGGGCCATATAGGTGCGACAGTGGGTGGGAAAGCAAGTAACCACAGGAGAAGCACACACCCAATGCTTTTTTTGGATTTGTGAAACGGAAAACCATCACTATAAAAAAAGAATTTGCAACAAACAGTACTGTAGCTAATTTATTGCGACATACACAAGTATAGTAACAAACAAACATACATCACTCTGCTACTACTGATCTCTACGAGGAGTTTAACATCTTCAGTTCAGGATGGTTTGCATGCTTGTCAAGTTGCCTGCGCAAGTCTTGCGCGAAGCTGCTGCTGTACTCTCCCGTTACAGACTTCCTTGAGTCCATGTAGGTACCTTAGCCCGTCAATCCACAAGCACGACGATCCACCACAAGATCTGCAGCAGTTAATGTTGAGCGTCTCAACCGAGAAAAAAGTTGCCCGTCCAAAAGTTACCCTTGAGCGGATGCCGTGGCAGTCAAACCTGAGGTGCTCGACAGGTCTCCACTCAGAACCATCAGGTGTAGGCACATGACCAAATGTGAGAAGCTCCTCTACCGGCTGGACATGAGGGCGGTCAGAGCTTCGTAACATATCCCGGCTAAATAACATGCCTATGTCCTCTCCAGTTGATACCCTCCACTCATGTTGGAAACATACGGGATCGGGAAGCCTGGTCCATGTTTGCCTTATGCATGCAACACTGTTACGACTACTAGTGTACAGTACCTTAAGGCGCTTCAGGGTCTTGGGCAGCACGGAGATGCGGTCAAAACAAGCAAACTCATAGCTGCCGGCATTCTCCTGCAGCACCAGCAGTTGCAGTGACAAGGACTCGAGATGAGGGAGGTGACCGGAGATGGCATCGCACAACTCCTTCCAGTTTTTACTGTTGATGCCGGTCAACCCGAGCTTGCGCAGCTGGGTAAGATTCTCGAGCTCCTTGAGGAGTAGGAGACTGCCTTTCCCACCTGCAATATTCACAACACCGAGTGTATGCAACTCCGTCAGCTTCCCAATCCCCTCGGCGGCGGCACGAACAATCTCAACACCGTCACCATTTGCAGCAACACGAACGCGACGCCTGCGCTGTTTCTTCGACTCCCACCAGCTACTGCTGCTGCTGGATTCCACCAAAGCATGCATGCACCCTATTCTTCAATGCTCCAGTAATTCTAGATGATGCTCGTTGGACCACACCTAATGCTGCTGCTGCTTTGACTCCTACAAAGGAGCTCCTTCCACTATGGATGTCTTCTTCTTGTGTTGTTGTTGTTGTTGGTGGTGGTGGTGGTGGTGGTGGTGGTGGCATTGCTGCTGCTGCTCTTGTTGCTGCTTGTAGTCGTCTTGCTTTGGTGGTGCCAGCACGAATGTACTGAAGCTTGTGTAGCTTGGTGATGATAGCAGGTGGCAGATCGACTATGGAGGTGTGCCTGGCATCCAAAGTCTCCAGCTGAGTCATGGCACCCAATGAATCAGGGAGACGAGTGACTTCCATGCATCCACGCAGGGACATGAACTTGAGGCGACGAAACTGCTTCACGATCTTCTCCAGAACATCATCTGTTACACTAGCAGTACCATCTGATGTCCTACTAGTACCCTCTAGATCAAGCACCCGAAGCACCTTCATCTTGTCCGAGACGAGGAATGGCACCCACTTCCCAAACACTGTCAAAGACCGTAGCCGTGACAAGTCCATGCTATTGAACACAATCTCATCCCTGTCCCAACAGCTGCTTATGGTGAGGTGTTGTCCCGTGAGTCGCGAGCTGGGGCTGCAACCCCCCTCTAGTGCAAACACAAGATTATCTTCCATTGGCCGTGACTTGATGTATTCACGGAAGAAGCCATTGACCATCCAGCTTTTTGTCGTTGATGATGTCCGCTGATCCAGATATAATATGCTCAATTTCATGAGTTCGGAGAAGAGCTTTTCTCCCTTCTCCTCTGCAGCACCACCACCACCACCAGAGGAGTAACCCTCTGCAATCCACCGCCTGAGCAAACGCCTTTGCCTAATGCTTTGGTCCATAGGGAATACTGACATATAGAAGATACATGGCTTGAGTTCATCTGAGCAGGCATCAAAATAGGATTGCATCCAACAAAAGATACCCTTTAATCTAGGAAAGCTTAACGAGTTCTCCAATATTTCCATCAATTCAGCATTGAAAAGCTCCAAGGAACTAATTCTCTCTGAGTATGGGATGGCAATTTTTCCTGCAGCAACTATTACTTCTGGAAGCCCACCACACTTGGACATGATATGCTTTAAAATTGGTTCTACTACCTCAGGGAAAGATTGAGACAGTTTCTCGGCTTTGAGATTAATCTGCAGTTTGGATAGAATATGTCAGCTTAATCAGTGTGCAGGGAGGGAGGAGAGGAACATGCATGCACTCGAGTTGCCTACCTTCTTGAAGAGATTAAGGGCCAAATCATCTTTTAGACCTTTGACATTGAGAATTTCATCCTTTTTATTAGTACAATATGTGGCGATGCTTTCTTCACGTGTAATGACAACGGTTCTTCCTCTAACAGGCTGGGAAAACAAAGCTTTTTTTATCAAGTCCCAGTCATGCTTCGACTGCAGACCATCAATAACAACGAGACAATTGTTTTGACGGAGGATTTTACAGCACCCTTGAATTGGGTCTTTTCCTTCCATCATACTAATTAATGCAGTTTCCTTTGCCTCAAGATTATCCGGATAAAAATTCAAAAGCAATCTCCGGCATAAGTCCGTCAAATCGAAAGGATGGGGTACATCCACCCAGCTGTGCATTATGTAGTGTCCGCCTGTTATCACTTTGCCGTGGAAACTCTCTCTGACGATAGCTGATTTCCCAACAACAGCAATCCCCCACACACACAACTTCACGTCAGGACTACGGCGATAAAAAAAGTCCATCTCATCACTACGCCCAACAAAGTTATCAAGTTCAAATTCACCATCTTCCTTTCTGTTGTCTCCTCCATCTGAACATCCACAACGGTCAGAACCCTGCAAGTATGCATGCATGTACAGAGAGGATACATAATTAATTGGCTTCTCGTAGAATCACATAGAAGCATTAATTAATTATTATTGTAATTACACATAGTAGTATGATACGTGCATATCTTGATCATCAGATCTCTGAGGTTGAGCAGCTGATATTCTTTATGATCTACACAATATGTGGCCACATTTTTACTTCTTGTAAGAACAACGATATAAGCTCTAGTAGACTCACATAACAGGTGTTTTTTAATCGAGTCCCATTCTGCGGTGGACTCCATCTCATCAATAAAGAGGAGGTGATCATTTTCAGTCAGAAACTTTAGACATTCTTTTGTTATAGCCTCGGGTTTCATCTGCATGAGCTCTACAAATGCATTACCTTGGTCATCTTTTGGCCTAGATTCCAAAAGTATGTCCATGGCCAAGGCATCAACCTGCGTATTTTGCTGACCGGCGAATCCGTGTGTATGGATATTCCAGTAGCTGTATTCAAATTTCACTCCATTGAGTACTCTCAACTTATTCAGGGTGTCGTTGGCCAATTGACTCATGAACTGGCTTCTGTCATCGAAATACAATCCTGTTCTAACAATGAGATAACACCACCATGTCTTCTTAATCGCCAAATTAATTCGCCCAAGCCATGTCGATGCCAACAGTCCTGCAGCAATGAAATAGTTTTATTAAACTGATGCAAATTGATCGCCTATTTAATTAACGTGTCATTAAGTATCCTACTTAATAAGGGCGAGATGGTGGAATAAATTAAATAACCCTTTGTTGTAAACTAAAAGCAAACCTAGCACATAGTCGAGCCCAAAACAGTTTTTTAAACAAAGCTATTGCCAAACCACTAAACTAGTACTTGTATATATACTTGCTTAACCAATTACTACCTCCTTTTCGGTTTGTAAGGCTCGCACATATCCCTAGATTGATAAATTGACCAACGTATTATTTTTTTGCGAATCACCGGGGGAGGAGTCCCTCCATCTAAACATATTGCTCAAAGTGGCCACAATGCCAGGAGAGTGATCCAGTTTATAAGGAAAACCGGATCGAAAACCTTAACAAATTGACCCCGTTTATGAGGAAAACCGAGCCGAAAACCAGACAAGTAATGAGTGTTACAAGAAAAGGAGAGGAACAGGACGCCCAACATAAGGCAAGACCTAACTAGCATACTAACAGGACCAGGTAGATGAGGGGTGCGTCGAGGGATCACACTACCAAGACTCTACAAACAGTCTAACGCACCGCACCGGCATGCGTATCAAACCCCACAGCACAACGGAGGAGCATCCACAATCCACGAGTGCCAAAGCTTAACACGAACCTTGACTGAGCGCTCCGCCACGGAAGTTCAAGACGATTAGCAAGTCGGGGAGGCGTCATTGCGTCGTCATTAAGCAAAGATGAACCAAGACGAGACCAAGAGCCTGAGGCTCGCCTCAACAGAGCATGGGCATGAGCATGCATAGAGCAGGCCAGAGACCACACGTAGGACAACCGAAGAGAAACACCTGAAGAAGAACACACCACCCTCGGTCCTGAGCAGGCCGCACCACCATGACCAACCCATGGAGCGTGCAAACAAGATCCAAAGTTCTTCCAGGCGACGCCCCAAAGAGGGAAGCAACGATGCCGACGCCGTCGCCCGACCTGACTGGGTCTTAGGCTTTCGCCCGAAGAACTGGATCCAAGGGTGCGTGAAGGGTGGACTCCACGGCGGCGCCTCCAAGAAGGTGAAACGACGCCCACAGACACCGACGCCATCGGCCGGCAAGAGCGCGGCAAGCTTTCGCCCGGAGCAACACCCACACCCACACCCCCACGCATAGCACCTCCGCTGACCCGCACACCTCCCACGAAGCCATCGCGCCATGACCAAGCAGAAGCCACCACAATCCTCGCCGCCGGCTAGACGCCGACGAGCCGAACACGGCCGAAACAGGCCAGATCCAGCAACCCACTGCTGCTGCAGCGCCACAGAAGAGCCCCGAGCAGGGAGGGAGGGCCGCCACCCCACCCTAACTCGCCGGACAAGCTACCAGATCGGCAGCCGACCGACCGAAGCTCCAGCCTAAACCACCACGGCACCTAGCCGGAGAAGACGCTGCAGGAGGCCTCCAGGACGCGCACCAGAGGAGCCGAGCCTTCCTCCACCGCCCGCGCCAACCGCCGCCTGCGGATCCCAGATCGGATCGGGACCGAACAGGCCCGACGACTACGACCTCGCGCACCGCGACGGTGCACCCACCACCGCGACCAGACGCCGCGACGCACGCCGAAGACCGCCTCCGCCGCAAGCAAGGACGCTGCCCCGGAGCCGAACACCGGACAGCCGCCACCCGCACGCGAGATCCCCTCCTCCCGAGTGAGCAGCGGCCAGAGAGCACCCCGCCGCCGCCGGCTCCGCACAGGCTTTGCCTGCCGGAGGTCACCGGCGACGGCGAGGAGGAGAGGGGCTGGTGAGGGGAGGCTGCGGGAGGAGCGGGGGTCGCCGCCCGTGTCGCCCCGGGGAGGGAGCGGCGCGGGGGCTCAGGGATCTTTTTTTCGCGTATCTGAGAGTGGGTGACCAACGTATTATGAGTGATATATTAAAAAATTATC